TAATTCCATGCAACTTTATTTCCTGATTATCTATTCATACTAAATACAATAGCATTGTAGTTAAATACGTCTCATTAAGAACATTTTTGGACCTTCAGATAAAATTTAAGTACCTAACTTAATTCTACCTGGGTAGATATGATCACTTAGATTCCTAGGAACCAAAAATGTTTATATTTTCTGTGTAAAATGCTTTGGTGGTGTTATGAATTTTACAAACATTTTCTATTAGGTTTTATAATTCACGTTCGAAGGACCAGAAAATAATACTCTTTTCCAGCGCATTTCAGTTCTTACCAATTAAGATTACGTCGGGCTAATTTTATGACCACCAGAGTTCGTGTGTTTATTTTATGTTTTAATGTTTTACCACTAAGAATGTTCTTGGTGAATAACTAAAGGGAGCCGAAATAACCTGCTCCTGTCCGACACTTACGCTACAGCTAAGAGAATTTGTAACTAATAATTAATTATTCTTTTAATGAATCCAAAAAGATAAGCCGGGTCAACTTTCTGTGATAAAATATTAAGCTTGCCTGTGGAGCTGTGGCGCCTCAATAATTCAGAGCCGTAAAAACCTGAGACACGACCTATGCTATTTTGTCTCGCTTCTGAAAATGTAATACATATTTCCAAAGGCAATAAAAGAATCTGTTTGATCTAATTTTGGCACCCAAACCAGCCATGTTTATGAGAGCAGTTATTTGAGAAACTTTTCAGAGATATATTTACATGAGTGAGCGCAAATTTCTTGTTCAATCTCAATAAAGCTCGATGGGAATGGCAGTATTTCATCTCTGAAAACACATTTGAATTTGATGAGGGCAGTAAACTTCATCCGATGTCAAGCATTCATCAAATGTATGGCATGCTTATGTAAATGTTAGCGATAAGAAACTCATTTGTCTGGCTCGCGTCTAGACATTCAAAGTTATTGCCTGTCGTGCCCATGTTTAATACTAATAATACTCCGCTTAACATAACCGCTCTCTGGTATACGAGCCGCGCTCATGCATCTTAATCTTTCCAAGTTATTCCAACTTTATGAAATCACGTAATCTAGGAGTTTATCTAAACATTTAACTGAAATTACTGCTGATAGAAAGATATGCATATTTTAAATTTAATGTGAAGAAACCTTTCTCGAGCTAAACTACCAATTGACAATAATTCACTAAAGTGAACACTTTGAAATAAAAATGCTGTTCCTTCAACGTCTTCTTCAAAGCACAAAGAAAACTTATTACTAGGTACTAAGTTGGTTAGGTTTATGAAATTTAGGCCTTATTTATCACACTAATATTATTCTAGGTCTGCCAGTTCAGTTAATTAAGTGTTAGATCATTATCTAAATGAGTTGGTCGTAGGTTCTCTGGCAATCTTCCGCTACAAAACTTTGTTAGTATGAAACACCGAAAATAAAAGGTACCTATTAATTTGATATGCACCAATGTCATAAAATAAGGAAATTAAGGTTAAGTTAACTTCTACGATAGGTATAATAAAATAAGTCGTGGCCAATAATAATCGTCTGCATTAAACAATAACAACTTTCGTAATGTAGACTTGTAGTTTCGTAATATTAAATTAATATTACCGCAAGGAATTAGTCCATAACATAAAACACGTAAATTTCTAATTTTCTAATGTCAAAGTACCTATATTCGTACGTAGCAACAGTACGATCCTGCGTGTAACATTACCCATTGTTCTCTGGCCATGAACAACATCGGACCTTTTGCCTGCACATTAGAAGGACATTATTATATTGGACACATACGACTTTTTGTCCGCTCTATTGCCTCACATTTCGGTAATGAAAATCGGGCTCTCTTTCACAGTTACGCTGTCATGGGGCAGACATTTATTATAACTTATTATAATTACCCTCGCGAACGTAGACAAAAATAAACGCAAAGTTAGCTCTATCTAAAGTCATAGAACTAGACGACTGAATAAAGCACTTCCATTATGTATTTCGCGGCAAAAGCATAAATAAAATAAATGCTTCTTGGCAGCACACTCCGCGTTTGATCATAATTTTTCTAGACAAAAGCTTGCTTGGCTACGAATAAAATATTTAACCTAGTAAATTCTTGAATGAATTATAAATTCAAAAAAGTTCAGAGTATTGTCTTAATTAGACAATGCTATAAATGTTTCTTCTTAAAGAGTTAAGACGTATTAAAAGTTGCTCCAGGATTTCCAGGAAAAATATTTAACAATTTAAAAAGTTAAGCAAATAAAGTTCAAATACCCAAGTTGTCAGACCAATTTTCTCATTCATTGAGTAGTGTAAAGGCAGGTAATAAGTAAAAAATCTTGCAATATTGAATGTTTATGCCCCTGGTATACCAACTGGAATGTTGCATTGTAGCGGTGAAAGTCATAAAACGTGCAAACGATAAAACTGCTGGAATGGTTTATGGCACGCAAGAAGGATGCGAGCTTTTTCACGAACGCGCCGCCATTTCACTGGATTGCACATTATATTTCATCGTCTTCAGTCTTCCCCTGTTTGTATTAAGAAAGTTTATTAATATACAAAACGTGTCTGAAATATGTCACGTTTTCAGTAACCTTCATTATCCGACTAAACATTTTCTGCGCACCTATTTTCTTAGGTTTTATTCGTTATGCCTTGCTAGAATACTTGGATCGCTAAATTGAAAATAGGAGCCAAAATCTTCGTATAGAAACGTTATAACACTAAGGCATAAATGGTGTAGCCGTTTGGTTTCTCACAGAGTTATTGCACAGTCTTTTAGTCATTTATCTCCCACAGTCAATTTGTTGGTACACAACAATTGAAAATGAAAAACGTGTCATAGAACTCGAGTATACAAAAGCGCACCGGAGAACTTTGCCTACTCCGCGCGGCGACACATGGCCTGCACTCCAGACCCATATAAAAAGAGTTGAATTTCAAATGTACTGTCACTTTTTGCATGGCAAAACAGCGAGGGTTTCCTTTGATCGCGAAAACAGAAGCGAGCTGAGGCAATTTCTGAAAAACGTGACAAAGGTCATAAAAAAGGACAGAACGCGTCCTGCGACGAGCCGCGTCGCGTGAAATGTGCGCGGCAGGTTGTAATGGAACTTACCTAGATGACATAGATCGGGTGATGTTCCTCTTACAATTTATATTTTTACCTACAAACACCGTTGTATAATTTTCCAGTGAGCTCAATGGGAAAAGTGTCTGTTACGAAAATTTGCAAAAAATATCAACTTAAGTTTCCTGAAAAAGTGCTATCCACTTTTCAGCTTTTGATGCTTAGGATGCCAGTAATTATTATAGGTTAGTAGGTATGTCGTTTACGTATGGCGTAGGTCGCCTTATTTATCTTTATTAATTAAAATTCTTCTCTTTCGAAGTCATATCACTAAATGCTTTTGTAGAAATAAGTGCGTCTGCTCTTCTTAGACTTTTACTCTACTTTAACCTTGTTCTGGTTGTATGTAACATCATATTTATATTAAACGGAAGGAAAACTTGCATTTCTTTTCAAATATGCATTCAAAACGAGTAGTATGAAGCAGAAGTCGGCGATAAAGGAAATGTGAGTAGTATCGGATACTTGCGATATTGTTATTGAATTTACTGTTTCGAATTTCAAAGCAGGTATAAAAATAAAAACTTATATCAGTAAAAAGGGAATCGATTGAATAAACATCGGAGGATAAATTATTTTTATCAGCACAATTAGTATTAGCAAGAAAAGCTTCTATTCTGGGAACAAAATAAAAGTCAGGCCACAAAGAGTCACAAAATTAGCTTCTCGCAAAATGGAAAGGTAAAGCATTTTTCCACGAGTCTGTGTAAATAAAGTTAAGGACAGTTAAAACTCCGGATTACATTTACGTTTCCGGGAAATTGCGCCAGATTTTACAATATATGTCAGCAAACTGCACGAAAAATTCGCGACAAATTGTATACTACAAGTCTAGGACGTGGCAACCTTGCAAAATGCAGAGAGAATCTTACACACGGTGCTGCATGTAATTTGAAGTTATTCACTGAAGTACCTTATCAGATGGAGACCATTTACAGTGGTTGAGTTGGTAGTTTTTACTTCTCTAATACTAACATTACGAAACAATAGGAAAATATGTCCACAAGTCTTCATTACTTATTATTTTGGTAATTTTTACTTCAATGCGTTAACATAGGACTCATTTATAGCCTGCAAACGAAATCTACTGAAATTCACTGCTACACGTTTCAGTGGGTACTAACAGAGTTTACCAGTTATTGAAATAGGTTCCAGCACACACATATATGCAAAATTAACTGTTTTAGTGAATCTGGTAAGCTCCCAGTTCGCGTATGAGTTGGTTCGCTTAGAGGCACTTACTAACTCCTATGTAACTTTTGACTAGGTTCGTAGGTACAGTTTGTTGTAAACTCTCTAGTAGCATTTAGTGCTTATAATAATGTCGTGATTCATGACTTTGCCCGCAAAACCTACTTGTTTGACTAACGGTGGCTATAATTCAATTGGACGCACTTTATTGCCAGCAACAATATGGTGACTTTAAATCCACGAAGCACGACACGTAGATAGGCCTATTTAGTGAGGATTTTTTTTCATCTTTTATTTAACTCATCGTTAAATACATTTTCTAGAAGAAACTAAAAAATAAACTTCCAAACTTTGATGCCAGTCACAAATTTTCCAAGTTGAAGAAACTCATTTTCTACCAAACCAACCTTTGTCTTTCACATTTGAACGGATAAAATATCGGCGCAATTAAGAGAAAAAGAAAGCTCATCAGTTTCCATTACCTACCAAATGTTCCCAAGTATACCAGACTTTCTCTTCTTATCTAAATCTAATATGTGATACCTTTGTAGTGCAAGCAAGGCTCAACTATTAATATTGAATGTTCCCAAGAACGACCAAGTCCAAATCATTTTCTCTCTTCTACTATAAACGTAACATGTGCGTGAACCCAGTCTTCTTTATAACTCCAACATGTGCTTCCTTTGTCCCCAGTAAAGGGCCACACAGAAGTCCGCGTGGAGCTGCAGATGGAGCGGTGGGCGGCGCGAGGGGGGGCGGTGCGCCTGCGCTGCCTGCACGACGTGCCGCACCACCTGCTCGACAAGGTCGTCTTCCTGCGCCACGGCACCAAGATCTTCCAGTACATTCGAGATAGGAAACCGCCTTATAGAAACTTTACCACGCCCGGAGCTGTGCTCAATGTAAGTACTACTATCATTCTCTAGAACAGTGTTTTTCAACCTGTGGGTCGCGAAGCCTCTTTAGGGGAGTCGCGAGAGGTCGTAAAAACTACCTCAGTAAAAAAACAGTAAAGGTTTAAAGCTAGATCTATCCGAAATCTAATTATGCAAATGCATAAATGTTGTATATATTGAAGAATTTGGTGCCTAACAACATCTTTGTAAAAGGCATGAAAAATAGCAATCGGTCGGGGGGTCGCAAAAAATTTTTTCATGCTAGGGGGGTCGCGTCATGAAAAAGGTTGAAAAACACTGCTCTAGAATAACGTGGTTAAGTAGTATTAAGATTGAACCTTTAAAAGACTAAATAATTCTAAAATAATGCAATTGAGGACTTGTTCAATGAGGTCATCTTACAAACCCACGACACCAAGAACTTCCTTTAAGAAATTTCACCACATCTGGGGCTGTACTCAGAATAAGCATTGTTTTATACTCATACTAACGGGATTTACTTTTGGTTTATACTATCCCACCTGCGCTGCGACACAAAGCTATCCAGCTAAATAACCTACTGCACCAGTTTTTACGAGCAATGAAATAAAACGGTAATCGTGTTAAAATAATTGTTGAACATGCAGGTCACTTGCAAAATTCAGAAGTTGAAATTTTAATTAAACGGACATTTTAATGCAATTTTAATGGGAAAATTATAAAAAGTGATTTATTTGCCAGTAATAAACCGAAAGCACCTTCATAAAAGTGCCTGATAAATTACAATCAAAAGCGTCCCAATTAATTTTAGTAAGCCAGATGCTAATTTGCGTGCTCAAATAACTAATCTGAATAAATTATGTTGAAAGCCCCTCTTTAACATCTAAAAGGCCTGCATCGTGAGCTTTACCGCTTTTCGTTTCGCTATTTGCATTAATAGAGCTATCTATTCGTCTTACAAATGTGTTTGAATGTATGAACACACCTTAAAAGTTCCCAACTTGGGTGCTGGCCGGGTAATGGGCCGGGTGGAGTTAATTTTCCGGGTCACCGTTACGTTCAGGGTTCCCACACGTTTCGAGTCGGGCTCTG